GGACCGTATGTTTGACACCACTGCTTTACATAATCATCTCGCGGGCCGGATTAAAGTCCTTTGGGGGCCGGATCCGGCCCGCGGGCCGTACGTTTGACACCCCTGACATAGACCATGTCTTGGGAGCAATCACAATCAATTTATACCGTATGTTCTTTTTGGGCTAAGCCTGAATGTTTTTGGATATCTCCCCACTTTGAAAAGCCCAGTACGTTCCGCCTTGCTTCTTCCTCTTTTTTTTAACCTACATTTTTACTACATTTTACATGTTGAGAAGGTTTTACATTTTTGCGACTGGAGAATTTGGCGAGGCGGCACGGTGAATGCTTGGTTAGCACGTCCGTTAGGGTTGTCATGTTCTGCTTTGCTTTTTTTTTGTTTTTGTTTTTCTTTCTTTTGTTGGGCGTGACCCTTCAGCAGTGCACCTGTGTCGAGTCAAGCAATCAAGCTGCTGTGTATTGAAGGAGTTGACTTCTGCTTCTCTTTTGTCGGATTATTGACCTTGATTGCTGTTTATGACCAGGTGCCATTTCTTTTTTGAACCTCGTGCTTAAGCGAATGAGAAAATGGATGGCTGGTTGAATTTGGCTTTGACTGCTAGAATCAGCCACACCACCCTATGTACACCGGCCCATCTTACTGGATATCTGTCTCTACCAATGGAGTCATGGTGGCCCATTCAGGTATATTGTGCCAACTTCACCATTTGCTCCACTGCTTGCTATCCTGTCAACAGCTGGGTGCTCAAGTCAGCAATCAGCCTCTTACCACATTAAAATTGTTGTCCAGCGAAATAATCCAATTTGTACTCAATGTACCTGTGATTTGATTACGCTTTACCATGTGCTTTCATTAACTACTTACAAAACACTGGTTCATGAATTCTCTTACTCCCCAAATCATGACATTGGCATGGAGACAAATTCCAATCTCCACATGCTGAACCAACCAAAACGCATCGGGAAGGAAATTATTTTTCAATTAGTGCGTCAGATAACCTTTATCTGTCTCACAATGGAGAAATTCCCAGTTTAAAGCAGCAGAATTATGAAATGGAGAAAGTAGAAGACAAAAAGTATATAAACATAAGCATATTAAAAATGGGTGAGCGGGCGCAAGTCCAGGTTTTCACGACTGTCTATTCAATAGCCTGACATCAGTCTGCAGGAACGAGTGGCGGTACCTCTCCTTTTTACAGCGCGGGTGTATCAGTCTCTGGCTGAAGGAGCTGCCCAGTGCTGTCAGGGTGGCCTGGAGGGGGTGGGTACCACGCGATTGGCACATAACTGATGCTCGCATGCTGTATTGAGTTGGATAAAGTCAAGCGTGGCTCGCGGCCATATGATCTTTCCATCTTGCAAATGACCCAACATTAACCTACTGATTAGCCTTGCGTTGTTAAAAAAAAAAAAAAAAAAAAAAAAAACAAAGTGCTTGACAGTGAGGACATTTTTGTGATTCTGAATTGAGGGAACTGCTATATGAATGTAAACGTGTCTACAGATCACTGACAGAAGACAAAACCCATGGTAAACAACTGTAGAATATGATGTTTGACAAGAGCTTCTAATGAATTGCAGCACTTTTATTGTTTTAACTTGGAGGCAGTTCTGCTTGCTAAATAAGCAAAAGGTGTATTTAAAGGAGGCTGATGATGAGCTTGACGTACAGGTGCAGAGCAAAGGACACACACTCCCTACATTCCCGCATACTACCAAAACAAAACAGATGGAAACATGATGAAAAAATTTGCATATTTTCAATTTAACATCAAACTGCTTAATCACTGAATGAAATCAACAAAAGGTATCCATCCAGTCGACGTTCCAAATTTTTATTTCAGGTTGACATCAACAGGCGAGACACAGACACATTTTACAATGGCTTCTACATGTTTCATAAATAGAGAATACAAGGTGTTTACTAGTGCAACAAAACTTGGCAGAACGGGATGGGAGAAATGCAAATAAGCAAAGCATGACAGTGGTTGATTCCTTAAAGGGGAAGTCAACCCAAAAATGCTCCTTGGAATAATAAGTTCCACGCAGCCCTATTTGTCTAAACACAGCATTCCGATTAATATTGCATTTGCGGTAAATGGGTTAATCACTAAAATCCACCCGTTTTTGAGCATCTCAGGGCGCGGGCATTTTGCCACTTGCTGTCGACTGAAAATGACATTTGAGTTGCTCAGGGCTCAAGGAACGCCCAATCATGGCTCATGTTTGAGAAAACAGGTGGGCCATGATGGGTCGTCAGCTGAGCCTTGAACAACTATGATGTCGTTTTCTGTTGACAAAAAGTGGCAAAATGGCCACCCGCTGAGATGGCCAAAAAAAACAAAAAAACGGTGCATTTTGTTGCTAAACTCATATTCCACAAATACAATATTAATCAGAACGCCACGATTACAGTAGTAATAGAACATATTACTGTAAAGCAATTTTTTAGTTTGACGTCCCCTTTAATAGGTTGCATAAAGTACTACATATGAACAACCGACTGAGGGTAGAAGGAAGTTGCAAATCGTGTTCCTTTTGAATGTTGTCAGACTGCTACAGCAAAGCCTATCCGATTACTGCGGCGATCAAATTCTGTGTAGTAGCGGGCGATGAAGTTGGCTCCCAGGATCCAGATGGGACCCGTAGGGGGTGGCACATCCAAGCCCCTGAAGGTAACAATGCAGACATCGCCCTCGATCTGGGATTGCTGGAGACACAGTAAATGGTCCATGACTGACGGGGTACGATCAGTTGAATTGACTCAGCATTTGAAATCCAACTTACCCACAGAATATAATCTTCATACGTGAGGGAATACTCGAGGCCACCAAGATGAAAAGCAACACTTGGCAATGTCTTCACAGTGTCACAGTTGACTTTGTACTGATTGAAAACATCAGTTATGGTGCAATGATGGGCAGGGTATTCTAGAGGGCAAATATTTTCAGCATGAAACCACTCTGGACGTGTACAAAAAAAAACTTACACCACTCTCGTCCAGCTGCGCTCCAATGATTTTCATCAGCGCAGAAACGGAGGAGGCCGGGCCGGTGATGTAGGAGGAGCCTGTGTCGATCACAGCTGTGCAGCCTTCTGCACAAAATATCCTTTCGGTTCCCAAAGAAACACTGAAAGAGTGAATGAACCAATGGACAGTCAAACGGATGTTATGTGTGAACTATACGAGGTATGAAGGTTATGAAAACATACCCTTTCATCACAACCTCCCACTTGCCCATCTCTTTGGTCTCCATATAATTAAATGTTCCAGTGTAGTAGTTTGGGTCTGTGCCACCAAGAACCAGCTCTCCACCGGGGGAATGTTGGGGATCCCTGAAATCAATAGACTCTCTACCAGGATTTTTTCAAATAGCACCGGGCAACAAATTTGCATGACACTTTTTTAACCCATTCAGGGACAGCGGTAACTACAGTGGACAGCTTATCGTGTTATCAGTTTACTTTACAGGGTGCATGAAAGGGTGAGATGCAAGTAAACTTTCGTAGTTGATTGATATTATTTTTTGGGGGGGTGATTACAAATATACATTTGTTTTTACTCCAGCATATCAGGTTTTCATCATCATGATAAAAAAAAAAAAAAAATTATATATATATATATATCAAATCTGTAGTATTTAGTGATCTTTATGAATTAAGGGTTATGTTGAGTAACAGGTGGAATTATTTTTTTGTCTGAAAGGTCATAGCTATAAATTACAATGCATGGTGAAACCCATTTTGCACAAGCTTTTACAGGTCAAACTTCAAAACAAAAAAATGGAAATACAGTATCTCAAAAAGCTGATGTGCTTGACAGAAAGTGTCGAGACATTTTTTGATTCAGGATCAAAAATACATTTTGGGACACAAAAAGCTTCTGATTAAAATGTGATATTGACCAGTGTAATTAAGTGTGTTAAATATCAGTGCCCCCATTATAAGAATCTCACCTCCTTTCCACAGACACAATCTTTTGATTCTTTCATTCTGATGAGGACAGCATTTGATGTCTTTTGTTACCAGGACTGAATCAAATGCTTCAAGTGCGACAAAAATCGGATACCAAGATTTTTGTTAGGCTTTTATGACAAACCCGGCTTCTTGATTTTCGACAGCGAGCCTTTTATTGCAAGTGTCATCCAGTTTTTGCTTTTTGTTCATTACCGCTATTACAGAGTTTGTTGTTACTGCAGCCTCTTTGCTTCATTCAAACATGAAGATGCATGCTGCTGATATTTTAAGTTCATTGCTACGCCATAATGTACTCTTTTTTTACAAAGCTACTTTTATTTCTTTAGTTTGCTTTCAAAAGCCTTTAACTCTTCTTTGTTGAATGCTTTAATTGTGTGAAGCACGTTGAGTTAACTTTGTGTATGCAATGCGATATATAAACAAAGCCGCTTTGCCTTGCCGAATTCATTCAGAATGTATCTTTGTTTGTTTCCCCCGAAACACACTGGAAGTGAGTGGGGGTCCCCTGACCTCAGCATACCTGCTGTAGTAAACAGAGAACACTTCCTCCTTGAGGACATGCTGCGACATGATGCGGTCAAACACTGGAGTGATACCGTCGATGGCTGCATTCGGGTAGCCCATCCCCAGGACGCCGTCGAACTTTGCAAAGATGAAGGGCATGGCAGACAGGGAGGTTGCCTCTGCAAAAACCTGAACCACCGGGATTCCACCCACCTTGAAGGAATAGAATGAGGTGAAAGTCATTCCTCCAATCTCTTTCTGCTCTTAAGACAACACCTCTCATGAATAACGTGGCAATTCACAAACGGTTCCTGTCACTTTCACCCCATAACTGTCTAACGCAAGGGTGTCAAACTCATTTTTGCCGCGGGCCACATTGTAGTTATGGTTTCCCTTGGAGGGCCGTTATGAATTTTGGGAAACCGTATAAATGTTTAATCCCCTCCACATATTACATGCACAGCGCAAAACACATTGATGAATAACTAGTTTTACAATGAGAAATCAAGAATAATGACTGTTATTGTGGATTACATATGACAATTTGAAATTTTGGTTCAGACCTTAGCAAGCATCATGGAACTTGACATGCTTGATTTGCTTTCGCGGGCCACATACAATCATGTGGCGGGCCAGATCTGGCCCCCGGGCCTTGACTTTGACACCTGTGGTTTAACGCTTTGTGTTCTCAAATTATTTTACTCCCTGCCATGAATGAAGATGCCTTCAAATATTGTCCTTTGTAAAAAAACATACAGTAATAACATAATCAAAAATAATACATAGGTACAAACAGATTCTGCATCATGATAAATTCGTCACTCTGGTGCATGGGACAAAACATGGCAAGTGCATGACAAATGATAGACACCTTGTCTTTTTTGTTTGCTTGGTTGTCTTTCCTCGGGCAGTTTGTTGTATGGCGGACCGTTGCATATTTGTGGTTTGGCGACCACAAATTAGAATATTTGCTGTTTTTTTTTCAATGTTTGTAAATATGGCGGCACAGTGGGCAACTGGTTCGCACGTCCGCCTCAGAGTGCAGAGGTGCAGGGTTCGATCCCTGCTCTGACCTTCCTGTGAGGAGTTTGTTTGTATGTTCTCCCAGTGCCTGCATGGGTTATTGCTCCAGGTATGCTGGTTTCTTCCCACATGCCAAATACATCCATGGCAGGCTGATTGAACACTCTCAATTATACCTAAGTGTGACTGTGAACATGAATGGTTGTTCGTCTCTGTGTGCCCTGCGATTGGCTGGCAACCGGTTCAGGGTGTCCCCCGCCTACTGCTCGAAGGCAGCTGGGATAGGCTCCATCACACCCGTGACCCTTGTGAGGATAAATGGATTAGAAAATGAATGGATGGATTGATAGATTAACAAAAAAGTTTTTGTCCCCCCACCCCTCCCCATTTTTGCTATTTGCAGGCCGGCCTGGTCCTTCACCCTTGTGAATATCAGAGGTGCGCTCTGTATCAAATTACAGGCAGAAGATGGGGTGAAGGAGCCGATTTTTATTTTTATTTTTTGCTTATACAGTATTATATTTATCATGTACTACTCCCAAGTCAGGATGACGGTTATTTGACAAAAGTGATTTTTTTGGGGGGGGATGGGTAGGGTGGGCGGGGAGCTTGTTTAAGAGCAAATGCCAAATAAAGAAAAATGTCTCCTCATGGTGAACGTTAATTACTGGCAATTTACAGGAACTTCCTGAGATATATACTTTCTTTCAAGAAGTCTTCATGAAATAGTTTTTTTCCAAAACCTCATCAATATGTATGCTTTTTTTTCTTCACAGCATGTAGACGCACAAGCGCGTGTTATGGATTGTACTCACCACGACCACATCCTCACTGAGGAATCCCCTGACGTTCCCTGACGCGTACTGGATGGAAAATCCTGTTCCATTTTCCATGTAGGTACGAGACATGGAGGCGTCATACCTGTTGTGAGTAACTACAAGTTCACAGTTCATTTGAGTCAAATCAAGTTGCGGGAAGCCTGCGCACGTACATGCAAAACAAACAGTTCTCCTGCTGCATGTGTGTGATCCTTACAGCAGGCTGTGGAGAAAGGGGAGCAGCTTTGCGAGGGAACCCACAGGTTGGCTGAGCCTGTGTCAAATACGACGTTGAACATCTGAGCTGGAGAGCCGATGCTGATTTCTCCATAGTACTGTGTCTGTTGGAGTGAAAGAAAATGTGATATTCATACTGCAAATTCCCACGTGCTGACAACGGGAATATTTCCAAATTGCCGGGTTACTTGCTTAAGCTTGACAGTTTAATGTTCGACAAAGAACCCGCGATCTGAATTCCTTAACACTGCGTGGACCAATTTGTCTCACATCCAAATAGTTGGTCAGGGGAGTGGGAGCAGTTCCGTTGCTGAAGTCTTCCACGCTCATCTGTGCTAGCTCAGTCAACACCTGATCCACTGAGACGCCCATATCCTGCAGTGTTTCCCTGATAGACGGCATCTTCTTCAAGCTTATTCTGGAAGCAGAGTAGACAAGCGGGAAAACCACTCCTCGTGAGCCAGAAGAAAAACAGACAGCAATCGCTGGTGCACATGCTTGCTGAAAGAACGCAAAAAGAATATTGTTGAGGTCATGTACATGCTATATTTGACATGCCATATTGATGGACATTATTCCAGCTTCTAGCCACGAATAAAATGTAGACGACTGAACCGTTTGGTTCCTAGCCAGAAACAAAAAGAAAAGTTAAAAATCCAAAACTGAAAGCAAAAGTTGCAAAGAAAAATGCTTTTTTTTCCCCGTCTTTTGAGCTGTCTGGTGCGGTCAGTCCTCACAGTTTTCCTTGTCGTGATTTCTCCGAGGTCCTGGATAAGATTGCAATCTGTCGCCCTTTTTAAAAGATGCCTTTTTTTTTTTTTTAAACAGAATTCTGTTCACTTTAAAAGGCAATGGAATGGAAGGGGAAGACTGATAAATGGCACAACCAATATTGTTCCTTTGGATGTAGTGTCAGACAACTTTTGTTGGTGCTGAATGCTGAATGGCTGGCTGTCAGCGTTTCACATCTGGCTTTTTTTTCCTCTCCAGGTCAGCGATACGATATATTGCCGTCACTCAGTATTTTACAAATCACATCTGTGCAGACATTCTAAAAATAAATCAGTAAATAAAGGCTCCATGTAGTACCCAAATGTGATTTGGTGACTTCTATGCATAGCCTTGGAGGGGACCCCATTCTGAGTGGTACTCCATAGCACTAAATGAGTACCAAATGGTTCTTGGATATAAATCCCAATATATGATCTAAGGAATTCCATCGTGCTATCCAGTAGAATCATACGTGCTATACAGAGTGTGCAAATGTGCTATATAGAACCAAGAGTGCCGAATAGACTGCTGAAGCCCCTTTATCTTTTGGGGTGAATGACACATTGCCAGCTCACTGTGTAAAAGCACACACAGGGATGGCAATATCCCACCTATGCTGTTGTAATTTTGTGGAACCTTGCAGAATATATGCTGGACTGAACATCAATTAATTACAGGGCACTGTTAAAACCACTTCATCTATTTAGTAGTTGGAATTCCACCAGCTCAGGGATAGGCAATGGTGGACCACAGGCCGCATGTGAACATGCTCTGAATGGCCCCTTAATTAAGTAAAAATAAGAATATTTTGACACTTTGCTTTTCCAACCGCCCCAAAATTCTCCTTAAAATGCTGATAAACATTCTGTCTGGGATATGGGGGATAAAATCACGGGAAAAAAACGGGCTCAATTCAAAATATGAAACCATATTGGGGCGTGGGGGGAGAAAAATTGGTAAATATGCAACTCTGTGGGTGCTAAACTGTTAATATGCAGGGGTCGACTGGAATTTTAAATTGTTACCATTAGTAGGGAGACATATCTTAGTTGCACTTCCACTGGGTCTTACACTGCCCTACATTACAATGTGAGTAGGCCGAATATTTTTTTTTTTTGCTGAATTGGTATGATATGCAGGACAAGCATAGTACCTAAATTATACTACAATTTTGAGTGAATTGATTTTTGTGGGAAAAAAATGGGCAAAATGAGTTCTCGCACTTGTTGTTGAGCACTTTTGTGCTGTCCTTGAATTTTAATTTTCAAACTAGAGACACCCTTTGCACTGGAAAAAAAAAATTGCAGTATGTGGTTATTGCGGTGTTTACTTCAAACCTTTCATTGTTGGGCTTTATCCATGCATTGTAAAATGTATGGGGAAAATGAAATGTACAGTATTAAGAACACATATTTTACACGTTCGCACATATTTTCACCATACAGTATTTGAAATAGCATTTTTGTCATGCATCCGGTGAGGAAATGTGTGGTCCTATGAGGCCCCCCGAGTAGCATTGATGAAAAATTCTGTCAGCTGACCATCCTTGCAGGTGTAAAACAGAAGCCTCTTACCTTCTCAAAGTATGGCCTGCACTCATTGTCATTGACAGGGCAACCAAGCATGCCCAATAGGCCGCCAACACTGCCATGGTGGCTTCTAGCAGACAGGAAGAAAAAATGTCTCAGGCCACTGATGGAAGATGGATCAATACGATTGGATCCCTTTTTTCTATGAATGATGAGTCCCACAATCGTGGACGCTGAGGCTCTGGCTGAGCGGTGTGGGCATCCCAACAATTTTATACCATCACCGCTGTCCTCTTCACCGACAGGCGGCAGTGATTCTGCATGGGAGCCTTCCTTAGAGGTGACCTCTTGAAAAAAGAGCTGCGCTTCCACTGCCCCCCCTCCACTCCTGGCACTTCCCCATCGGTGACCCATCCCCTCCTGTGATAAACAGGTCCCAGTGAGATGTCTGCACTTTGACCTCATGGATCCCATTTATGACAGAAAGCAGGGGGTTCACATGTGGCTGATTTTTGCAGCTGCGCAAGATTGCTACCATTTGAATGGCCATCAAGCTTTTAATGGATTCACTTCACTTCCAAGTTACTCCCCATTTAATGCAATTTCTTTTTGAAGTGTACATTTTCCCTAGAACGGAAGACGATGGACAATGAACATCTGTGTATTCACTACAAGGTCTTGATCGAAATGTTTGCCAAGTGAACTTGGTGCATGGTGAGTGTGTTGTGATGATTTTGGCCATGTCGGACTTGTTGAGAGTGTGCGTCTTGCTGCGAGATACAGACCCAACGCGGCTAACGCCTCTTCATTGCAGGCTCGCTCTCAGCGGTTTTTACCCCTGGGAGGATTCCCACAGTATCTGGCCTGTCAGCCTGCGATCATGTGCTGGTACTGTACTGACCACCCAGTCAAGTCAGCAGATACGGGAGGGTTCGCCACGGTAGAGGTCAGAGGTTAGCCTCCAAGAACATAAGGTCACTGTGGGCAAACGTTCCAGGAGAAGATAACGTGGCAACATGACGCACAAGAACGGGGCGGTAAGATTGACAAGTAACTTTTTTTTTTTTTTTTTTTTTTCACAAAATCTAGGATTTTGTTTTATGGCCAGCAACAATTATAAATACAGGATGCGATTACAACCTCTATTTTAACTTGTGTTTTTTTTTTTTTTAATCAGGGCTGGAACTTTCTTGATAAATAATAATTAATCATAGAAAATTAAACATGTTGAAAAAAAGACATCTATTTGTGCACTCCGGAGAACATGAAACTTTTCTCTGTTCTCTAATTCGTGGCACATTGTTTTTGCCTAGGCACAAACTTTATTGTTTTGCAACATGCACTCACAGCACGTTTACTCTCTCACAATAAAACAGAAGATACATGTTTTATTCAACTGTTGGTTTATTTGGTTTTGGCCTAGTAGTACATATTTGACGGTTTACACTATTCTGGAATGTGGCAAGATTTAAAACAGCATACATGAGTTTCAAGACATTGCAAGTGCCTTATAAGATTGAACTTGTCCAAATTTAACATACAGCATATGTGCTGGAGTCCATTCAAAAATCTGCTTCTCATTCTCTCCCTATCATTGCACTTGGTGGAAAATTGTATTCTTATGTTTGTGTACGTAATACTCTAATGGAAATTGATTGTTTGCTTTTCAATAGAATTGTTTGTCTAAGTTCTGGTAAATGTGTGGGCCCAACTTGTCAGTCAAAATACATTTGAAGTGAAAAACATTGCTTATTGAAACAAATATTTGCATTCGATTTAAAATGGGCTTGACAAATCAAAAAGCGTCTACCTTTTTAGTACTTAAAAAAAAAATCAAATAACACCACTACTTTTTATTTCAACGCAAACTAGTGAACATACAGTTTCACACAATCACAATTTGATGTTTTTTTTTCTATTATTATTTTGTGTGTGTCAGTCAACTCACATCACTAGAATCAACAAGAATCATCAACTGAGTGCATGCCAAATATTCTTTTTGGTGGACTGCGGGTTCTCACTCCACCAGCTTTTAGCGCATGTGTTTAGGACCTGCTACAAGCTAATCCGTGATCACTTAACGGTCCATCAAAAATAAACGGCAAGAAAAAGAGCTCTGTGCACTTCCTGGAACTCAATTATGTGGCTGAGAACTAAAGCTGTCAAGGGGTTTATGCAAAATTGTTTTATCTAGCATGACAGAAACCATGGCTTATTTAGCGTGAACGTGAGCTCTCCATATATATCCTGCCATTGCGCACAAGCTCACATTTGACATCTGACTTTTGACCCAGAAGCTAAATAGATACTAGCTTGAAATTTCCCACATTGCCGAGGGAGACCTTAACGTCATTCCTGTCTGGCCTTATACCCCTTGTGCGGCAATTTGATTGGTGGCCATGCATGGGAAAAAAGTACAACTCCGGGAAGATAAAGTGTTTGTCTCGTGTATTTTTTGAAGAGCAACATACTGTATGTTATCTTGGAGCCGTTTGCTTCAAGTGGAAACTCAGGAGGCCAGAGGTTTTCATGTTTTCACGGAGGACACTGGTCTTTTTTTGACCTCAGAGAAAACAGATTTGCGTTTCAGATTGGAGGGAAAAGGTGTTGAAATACATGGCACAGTGCAAAGCTCAAACAGGTAGCTGCCAAAGAAAATCATGTCAAAAACACGAAATACGGTACTGCATCCGAGGTATATTTTCTTTTCGCTAGACGTCATGATAAGAGTGAAGAGAAGCAGAGCTGTTTTCAGGAAAATGGGACTGAAAGGAATTATCTTTCCCAAACAAACAAACGTGATTCATCCCCCGTCAAAATGTTCCATCCCAGCTAGCAAGACGAAGAAACTATGAAATCTCTTGATGTGGCAGTTATCTTGTGGTTGGCCACAGACCTCTCATTCTTCCATATTTTAGACTAGAAATAGATGTCTGAAATGATAATGAAGCCTAATGCTGCATCGCGTTTGGCCAACAGGGTGCAGCATTGAATTTAAAAAGAGAGCGCCATCCAGCAAATGGACGTGTGCGTGTGCGTGTACGGACGCTTGTGTGGCTGTGTCTCATGCTTACGATTAAGCTCATTGAAAGAACTTTGAAATGCGTTAATTTTTTTTCTGCTTTTGTTTTCACTGTGTTTTAGTCATTTTAAACTCAGAGCTAATTGACCACTGACTAATACGAGGGGATACCAATTTGACGCACACACTTCTGAATGAACTTTGCTCAAATTACCTTTTGGGTCATTCCAGAATTTGAGGACATTTTAGCTTCAAAATTCTTGAAAAATAAACCTGAACTTTTCTGATTTTCTGCTACATATTCATCAATGATGCTGTACTTAATCAACTAGCTATGGCTTGAATAGGTCAGTTTGGATGCTCAACGATATTTATTTACGTGAAGACACTGATCAGGCTAATCTTTTATAAAATAAATTAGGAAACAGATAAATATCGATGTGCAATATTTTAATTATTGTCTAGTCTCTGCCATGGTTTCCATTTTCGAATACTCACTGATACCACATTACTAGGAAATCACAATGTCCCATCACTGCTAACCTATTTTTAGAACAGTCCCCCAGGCTACTCATGTGGTCCTTGGGGGCTACCTGGGCCCCTTGCATCCATCCATCCAACATACCAATTAACATAGTCTAGTCTGCTGCATTCTACAATGTAACCACATGAGAGCGCAACAGGATAAAAGATTAATTGTAATGTTTGCGTTGACGTCACTGGCCTAACCTTTTGAGGAGCTGTTATTAACTCTGAGTAAAAATAACCAAATTGTTCAACAGCCACAACATTATGCCCACTGGCACAGTCCCAGGGCCAATACACAGACTGTATGAAAAATGTTGCCATTGCAATGTTTCTTTTTGACTGACGTATTAATTGTTTCATTATGTCAGTTGTTGTGTTTGTCGTTTTCAGTGGGGTATCATAATGACAGAGTTTTAAAAAACAGTCGGAACAAAGCTTATTATGATGCAGTAAAGTATTAAATCACCACAATCGTGAATCAATCAATACCTTTCGTACAGAGTCCAAAACTCCCCCAAATGAAACCTGGTCTAGTGTTACATTGTCACTGTCGTCTAATTCATTGTGTTTCGTGACTTACAATATCCTAAGGCTATGTGAGGAATTGTAAAGGAAGAATGTGCATTTGAATCCAAACACTCAGATAACCTGGCAAAGGAAAATGGATCATATACGGAATAGCGTCCAATAGAAAACACTTAGAGGCACAACAGTAGGCTCTCGTTTGATTGTTTAAAGCTGCATCCTTTCTTTTTATTCTCTGGTCACCATGACGAATTGATACGACATTTAACTTGCTGGTTAATATTTGACTCTTCTCGATTGATTGTTGACTCTTGGTTTGGTCGCCAGATTATTGCCTTTTACAAAACAAACAGTCTTGGTTACACAGTGCCGAAGGCAGATTGTTACTTTGGGTAATGTGACCTCAACATTGTAAATGTACTCCTATTTTTAAATCTTCTTTCTTTTCTGTCTTTTTAGACAGCTCTCTTCAACGGATGTGTCATAACCCCCAGGATTATAACTGGCCCATACACCGTATATGATGCAAGCTCTCCCATGTCAAAAAGTGAAACTGCATCGGCTGGTTGTTATCGGCTTGATCAAATGGCCCATTGAACCAAATGAATGTTGTCATCTTTTCTATCGAGTTGGGTTTGTAAGCACAAATAAGACCAAAGCCACAACTAATTGGACTGAATTGACTTAAATGGCAGCCACTGACAACTCTTTATTTCATAAGATTGAAGAAATGAATATTATATAATATTTGTCCTTGCACTTATTGGTTTCGGATTCGGCAAAGATTTATGATTCTCACATCCCAGCTTCACTTTATCATAATAGGTTTTTTTTTTTTTTTTTTTTTTTTTAAGCTAAGGCTTTCGCATATCTATATTTACTTTGTAGTTACCGCTACTTGACTCTTCAAGCATGGCTTATACTGCATGTCAAACTCAGAATAAGGACAAGTAATCAAGCACTTGTGCATGTAAACTGTTGTTTTTCAGTTGACAGTTGGATCAATGGGCAGGATGAACAACACAGTGAGGAAAACATAGCTAGGCCGTGACCCCACTGAGAATGTTCAGGGACATGACTGGTGAAGAGGAGCCAACATGAAATAAAATAGAGCACATCATCACATATGTTGCGGTCACGATAGCCATGGAAAAGTATGGCGATCATTCGCATGACGTACAATAAAGGTACAAGTGGCACAGCTCATGAGCCATGAGCCATGAACTCTCTGAGCACTTAACATTGAGATGA